CTTCATGTCAGCATGATCAAGCATCCATCCAGAAACCAATAGCTCATGCCTAGCTCACCATGACCAAGCATCCATCAGCTCATCCTCATGTCAGCATGATGTGTATTTTGATGGGCTCACGGATTGGGTTTGGCTGAATCAAAATATGACTTTAAGATATCCATTTTGAAGTTCAGAATGTCTCTGATCCAACCACACAAGTATTGGCCCAATCCAAGCTCGGATGAAGAAGATAAGTCCGAAATGAACTTCTAACTTAATATCCAGTTTTTGCACGTTTTGCACCATTTTGCTTCAAAAGTGATCTCTTGCTGCCTTCAACCTATAGAACACACAAACATAGGTAAGTGACTTGAAATAAAGAGAAACTAAACAAAATTACTAAGTAATGAAGGCATGCAAATGTGTGAAATTATGAACTTATGAAGACGGCAGCTTGTGTAGTTTGTTGAAAATTGGATTGGTTGATTGTCATTTGCTTCACTATATCCTCCAATGATGATGATTGTTGTGGCCCTTGGAATGAAGGGGGATTGGCTTGATTCTGGGTATTCCTCCATGAAAAGTTTGGATGATTCCTCCAACTTGGATTATAACTTTGAGAGTATGCATCATTTCTTAGACCTCGGTTATAGGAATTTACCAACTTAGCTTGCCTTGCACAAATTCTGGATATGCAACCCCAAGTGGATAAGCCATGGTAGCATGATCATGAGTTTCACAGATGCTACAAACTTCCTTCGGAGGGTTTCTAGAGTTCAATGCAAGAAGGGCATCTAGTTTTTGTTCTAGTTTTGAAATCTGCACACTAGAAGCATTATTAGAACCACTAACAACACATTTACCTCTTGTATCGATGTATTAGGTCTCCATTGCTATCTCTTCAAAGAGTTCATATGTTTCTTCAAGAGTCTTGGTTTTATAAGAACCACCTGCAAAATTGGTGATCCAGGTGGATCTTTCAAGATAATTAAACAATAAATATCATTTAAATTAAATTCAATTGAATAACTTATCAACCATTAGCCTCGAATGGTTTAAGAAGAAATGGTTCTCAACCATTTAAGAATTAATGGTTTGAATTACCTACGGAATTTAAACCACTTAACATTTGTGGTTTAAATTCATTTTATATTTTTAGCTTTCTATTCTAGGCATTTATGCTTGTATATAAACCATTGTAGTTGAATGAATTAAGCAAGTATAATTCAAAGCAGTTCTTTAGCTTCTTCCTTTTGTTTTCTCTAATTGTCTTAAAATTGCTCTCGTTCCCTTATTCCTATAAACTAGGAATTCATAGTTCTATCGACTAGAAGTTTTGGATCAAGTGGTATCAGAGCACCAAATCCAAGAGGGTGACGGTGTTTTATGGTCTCGACTCGCAACCAACGCAAAGCTTCTATAGAAGAACTTTTAGGTCCTTTGCTCGTACACCGAAAGCCAAGGTCCAAGAGAGACATTATGACTGGAGAAAACAAACAGGATACATCTAGTGATGGCGATCACATCACTAAGCTTGAGCAGCAAGTTGAAAACTTGTTTGCATCTCGTGGAGAATTTGAAGACTAGAAAACCTTCATGTCCATCAACTTCATACGAGCCTGATCAAAAGCTCAAGAAAAAGGTTGTTGAGGATAGCGAAGATGAAGACGACACACAAGCTAATCCAGTGAAAAAGGAAGCTGAATCAGGTGACAACAAAAATTCTATTGATACTTTAAAACTTGATTTTAAGGTTGATATCCCTATATATAAAGGAGATGTTGATCCTGAAAAGCTAGATAACTAGATAGATATATTAGAAACTTATTTCACAGTTTATAAGTATTCTCATGTGCAAAATATTAAATTTGCGAGTTTGAAACTTTCAAGCCATGCCCTTACATGGTGGAAGTCCTATCGGAGACGGTATGATGTCTCAGAATTGACTTGGAAGAATGTCAAGATGCTTTTAAGAAAACAATTTTATCCAGTTATAAAGATGAAAGATGGTATAAGTGGCAACACTTCAGACAAAGATTTGGGCAGCCTGTACAAGAGTATACAATAGAGTTCCATAACCAAGCTATGATTCTGGACATTGACGTCGACGACTACAACGTTTTCATGAAGTATACCAGAGGTCTTGCCGACTACATACGGAAAGAACTAAAATTGTTCATCGTAGATACTATTCAAGAAGCTACTGTGAAGGCCATCGCCATTGAGGCGAAAAATAAAAGAACTGACAAGAAGGATGACAGATCAAAACCTATCAACAAAATTGACTAGCAGAAAAAGGGGAAGCAGAGTAAGGAAGGTCAGACACAGAAGGTCTACTGTGATCACTGTCAAACCAGCAGACATGCCAAAGACAAGTGCTGGATACTCCATCATGAGTTGAGGCCAAAGTGCGAGAAAAAAAACCAAGGGAGAAATGACAGAAAAGCCACCTTAACTGCACAACAGGCAGAAGAGCTTCCAGAGTTGAAGCAACCTAATGTTACACTTACCCTTATGACAAGACTAGTAGATACTGAAGACACGTACAACCGTGAAGAGTTGTTTCATGTGAATATTCATGTGAAGCAAAGTGTTGTACAAGCTAGCATTGACCTAGGAAGTCAGAAAAAACCTGATTTCATAGGCTTTAATAAGAAAAATGGGTTTAGACACCACACCACATCCTAAGTCGTACCCACTAGGATGGATTCAGAAGGACGTTGACTTACAGATCATGAAGCAATGTACCTTCAAATTTGCTATCACCAATCGATATATTGATGAGGTGACATGTGAGGTGGTTCCTTTGGATGTTTGCCAAGTCATATTAGGTAGTCCATATTTATGGGACCGAGATGCCATCCACTATCGGAGGCTTCGCAAGTATTCACTTGTGAAGGATGGGAGGGAGTTTCACATCAACGCTTGCAAGCCTCAAGCTACAAATAATTTGCTTACAGATAATTTGCTGACAGCTAACCAAGCCAAGAGGTTAGTCAATTCATGTGGGCGATTCGTTTTGTTGATGATTCGATCGCAAGATCAGAGTTCTGGAGCTTGACATTGTCTACATTGTCTTTATCTCCTACGCAATGCTCAGACATAGGGAAATTATAAGAGAAGTTCAAGGACTTATTTCTTGATGTGCAAGGTTTGCCACCATGAAGAGCTGTGGAACATGAGATCCAGTTGGTAGGAGATTCACCTCTAACAAACTTGGGTTTATATCGTACTTCTTTGATGGAATCTGACGAGATCAAGAAGCAAATTTAGGGACTTCTTGAACAAGGAGTCATCAAACCTAGCCGTTCACCATGTGGTTCGCCAGTGTTACTTGTGCCTAAGAAAGACGAAGGCTGGCGTATGTGTGTTGATTATATGGCACTCAACAAAATAACTATCAAGAATTGGTATCCATTGTCGAGGATTGATGACCTGCTAGATCAACTACACG